ACCACACCCACACACACACACACACACACACACACACACACACTGACTGTCTCTACCAACTGACGTCCTACAAATCCACGGTTAGGGAATTATTTGGCAACAAGGAGGCTAAGGCTGTTTTGTGGTGGCACAGTCTTTCAGAAGTCCAAAAAGAAGCAGGCTACCTCTGGAAGAGCTGTTCATACAGGCCAGGGTCTGTGTTCAGCTACTTGTCTGCACTGGGGCTGCCTGCCACAATCTCTTCATACTTTGGGGGAGGATCACTGTAAGAGACACTGGCCTCCTCACTGCTGCCTTCCTGGGGTGCAGTCACCTCCTCGTAGGAGGGGGGAGGTGTAGCACTGGACAATCTGGAGAGAGAGAGCTCAGGGAGGTAGAGGGTACTCTCCAGCCGGACAGTGGTTCTGCCTCCCCGGCTGGGCCCCACCACTATCTGTGGGTTATTTCCTGCCTCCCGGTGCCCAGAGGACTCTCCCTGGCTATGCACAGTGCCTCTGTATACCATGACTCGGGGGAGGTTGTGTCCAGTGCGACTAGCTAGGTACCGGTTCTGAGCATAGGAGGGGTAGTGGTGAGTTGCTTTCTGCAGCTGGCACCTCCAGATGATGAACAAGGCAATGACAATCAGCAAGACTACCCCCAGAAGGGGCACCACCACATACATGGCATCTGAGCTCTGTGCAGGATCTCGGACTGAGTAGACTGCATTTGGGTAACCCTTCCAAAACTCCATCTGCAAAAGAAGAAGGGCCACTTACTCCTGAGGAAGACAAGCAAGGCAATGCTCACCCAGTATCCATGCTTTGGACATCTGAGACCTCCAGCAAGTCATATACCAAGGACAGGCTTGTGATTCCTTCTCCACCCTGAGTCATCTTACTGGCCTGAGAGAGCTCTCAGAGAGCATGGGGAATCCGGCAAGTATTAAAAGCAAAGCTCCCAAATCAGAAAGTTCACACAAATCATGCAACAGACCTAGAGGGACACCCCAGTGCTCCTTTCAGGCTCCAACAGGCAGGATGTAGCCTGGGATGGTGTTCTTCCCTTGTTTCAGACCTGTTCTTATTATTCCCAAGGCTGTACCTCCTCCCAGAACCCAGTGCCAGGGCAGTACGTGCCGTTTTTTCTTTGTTCTCAAATACTTCCTTGACTTCTTCATAGCTGCAGATCTCTTCCATGCACTCCCGCTCGATGGTGCCCTGACGTAGCTCCTCCAGGAACTCATTGGCACGAGGGAACCTTTTCAGAACTGCATGGGCATTCTTGGCTTCCAGAAACACTGAAGAGAGAACCACAGTGAATCAAAATTCAGTCCCTACAAACCAGACTGGCTCAGACATGAAGGGAAATAGGGCTAATCCAGGAGACCTAAAGCCAGACCTACAACCAAAGGCCAGACCTGGCCCATTACAATGAGGATAGGAGAACTGACTTTCTATAATGCTGTACTCTCCAGCATGACCTCTGGGTCCCAACAGGGTCCATGTCCTTTGCGATACCAAGGAAAATAAGACCCAACTGAGAAGGAACTTCAGGTGGCACAGGAAAAAGAACCAGTAAGAACTCTATGTATTGTAGTCCTGGGTGAGAAAACATCCAGTAGCTTCCGCATCTGTCTTGAAAAAGGTAAGCCGTATCCCTCAGCATGAGAATTGGTTCCTTTTCCAGGCTGCAACTGGTGGGACTTAAGTGAGGCATGAGCTATGGCTTTGAGGATGAGAGCAGTCACCAATAGTGAGACCGCTTACTCCTCACAGTAGGTGATGCCCTCTATGTCATCTTCCCCAAGATCTACAAGCTGTTGAATTAGTATACCTCAGAGCCACCCAAGGAGAGAAAAGCTGAAAACATGGATGTGTTGCTTTTGCAAGAACCTGTCCAACTCAGATGGTTCCGCAAACACTCACCAGCCATGATGCTCCCTCGGCTCCAATGTCTCACTTGCCTGGCAAGGAAGTAAAGAAAGTTATGGTGAATTCTTCTGGGGTCTAGAATGTGACCTCCCACCAACTTGGCTGCTAAAAGGTCAAAGTAGCATTCCATGAGGCAAGTACCCTTATGCCATCACTCAACACCTGATGCTTCTCTTTTGTCCTCAAAGACCTTTCCAGAACTCCCCAAACCCAACAGAGCCTTGTTATCCTTCCCTCCCTCCATCCCCTCTCTCTATCTCTCTATCTCTCTAATATCCTGTGAGTCTCAAACACCTAAGGATTAACCTTTTTTTCTCTGGGTTAACAGTCCTTATTCCTCAATCCCTTAGTGAATCTTTGTCCCTTCAAAATGGAAAGGACACCAGAGATAGATGAGAAACCAAGTCCAGAAATGGGTTGAGTAGAAGCAACGTTAAGCAAATTGACAGAGACAAGACTGAGAATTGAATTTGATGGTGAAGATAAGTCCCATATGCCTCTAAAGATGAACATGTTCCTTGAATACCAAACTTAATGCAGCAACAGCTATCTCAAATGTCACAGCCTAACTGAAGCTGGCCTACAGTAATCTGTGGATAATTGTTGTACATGGTCAGACTTTCCATGTCCAACACAGACATATTCTTACAATATCTGGCCCAATCCATTGGGCCCAAATTCAGACAATTTTATAAGCCTATCTTCCTCATAAAGAGAGACAAGATGTTTGGACTTCTCTGGAGGCAGGCACATCTATTTTCTTTGCATTAAAGACTACTGCAGCAGAGAACTTTGGTAAACACATATTTAAAAGATGAGCATGAAGAAGCAGGTGTGGAGTTAAAACTTATTAATAGCGTACATGCCAGGCATGTCTAACAGTCTGAGTTTGGTCTTCAGGACCACAACAAACAAACAAACAAATACAATACAATATAATAAATCTATGATGGTAACTTAGAGGAGAGGCTGCTATCTAGAAGTACTGTCATAAGGTCTTTCTCTGCTGGCATAATCCTACTTGTACA